CATGGCAAAATGTCGGCCAGGAGGGTACAACATGATGATCATTTAAAAATGGTGGCAAAAAAAAAATTAGGGGCGAAACCATCCGAGACTAACAGCGTTTTGATCGACCCCCGTACGTCAGCTAGGCTCGTGTGCCAAAAAGCAGCTGAAACTGAGGTCATAACTATTGAGAAGTGAGAACTGGCAAGAAGCTCACAAGTATAGGCTAACCAGTTTCAAAAATAGCAGGTCATCGTAAAATAAAGACAATACATCGTTTAAAACTCTTCATAATATCTAGAATGCCAATTTTTTTGGGAAAATAACGCGAAAATCGTTGATGTCAAGAACACTTGGCCCCAAAAAAGGCACATAAATGTAAAGTTTGATCCTAGGAAGTTTCATGAGGCAAATCTGGAGCGAATAGCTTTCTTTCAGACACGAAAACCCGACAAAACCACATGATCAACAGTCTTGGGCCGTTTTCAAAGCAAAAACTCTCTTGAGGAAAACACTCCGTAACCCAACGAATGTTTTGGCATGGGGAATGTCGAGCGTTTGGAATTTGCAAAATTTGAACGGCATGTCTCAGAAACAGATGGCCGCACATTTGCTATGATATTATGCAAAAAAATTACCCCTGGCAATTCCCGTTTGTTCAGGAATGGGGTCGTTTTGAAAGGGGAATTGGTGCTTGGATGTCGGCGCCAGCCTTCGTGAAGGAGGTTTGTCCTCCCCGTGGCCTAGTGGATAAGGCGTCCGTCTCCTAACTCGGTGGCAGCGAGTTCGCGGCCGGGAAGCTCCACGTCGTTTGACCCGCGTTCCTATGTTAAGCCAGCTGGCAACTGGCGAGAGAGGGCCACGCTAGACCCGGGAGGACCGTGCGCCATCTACCTGCGGCACGTTAAACTTTCGATCCAAATTATCCGGTGAACCGGATGCGGGCAAGGTGGGGTGGTGGGTCCGTGGTGTCATTCGCAACAAGCACTGCTTAGCGGGGCACCCGGGCCCATAGCCACCCATTCATCCATTCGGACAAAATTTCTAAAAAATTAAAAAAGTCTCCAGGAACAGGACTGGTGGGTCGTGAGAATTCTGAAAATGGTCTGACTGCAGGTTTCATGTTTACTCAAATCTCAGCGCCATCTACCACCTGACACATCAACATGTGGGTCTCACCTGGATGAAAACTCCTCGAACCGGCCGCCCTCCAGCAGGTGCACCTTGCAGAAGAGCACAGCGCTGACGAACGGCACCGCTGTCAGCTCCTCCACCACCAAATCCACTTGGAACTTGTACTTTTCTTCTGGTAATTATGTTCATGATTTTAAACTTCTGTTCTGCTGCAAGACAATGTCCACAGCCACGTAACTCAATTATAAATTACAAATGACATCAGACTATCAAAACATCTGTAAAAAAGCGGGAATTATCAGTAGAGTAGATAGTCATGTATTTTATGCAAACCCCATGATACTTTAACAACACAGCCCCATTACATCTCCGGTACATCATCTTTTAAAATGATGCACCGGCACAGGCACAGTGAGCAGATCAGCCTAGCATTGCATAAGAACTGCACTGCTCACTGCAAAGCCAGACTGCAGAATTTGCACTGCATTGCAACACCGGCATACACCACTACACAGCGAAAATGGCGGGTGCCAGTATGAGTACCCAAGCCCAGGAGTCAGAACTAAGGCATGCATGCTTTAGTGGCAAGAGCTGTGAATGATAAGCGTACTTCATCCATCCATGATCCTTGCATCCTCTCTCAACCAGTTCCAATTGAGGCCCACTTTGATGGCCAGTGACTAGTGAAAGCTGAAACCAAACATAAAAGGTACCTACTCCATACAATATAAAATCCACAACTCACAAGTCCTTTAATTTAGGAACTTGATGACATCAGATCGGGACCCTACACTTACCAATACAGTAAGCCGCGAACCTAAGGTAAGCAGGTAATAACAACAATAACACCCACATATGCATTTTTCATATTATATTGAGCTGAAAGCATGACGGAGTTGAATTGTGCTACCACCGTCGGTGTTTCTCCGCGCCTTCAACACTTTTCTTCTGGACAATCCAAGGAAGTAAGTTCGTTATTCTGCGCGATATTCGTTGGTTGTGCTCCTTCTTCACCGCCTTTTTCAGTCACCTTACCCACATTTCTTTTGCTTTGAAACGTGAAAGAAAAACGTTACAATCATTTCGTCTTGTCTGAGACCAAGGCCATTGCCCTTCTGTTGTTTGAAAACGTAATGAAATTAGAAAGGGATAATTGGCCAGAAAGAAAATATGATGACACGTTTTTATGCAATTGCATTTCACTTGACAACGAACATTGCATTTTGATTAACGAGATAGGCCAAGGGGACAGACGTTCGATCTTGCGTTCGAGATAAAATTGACTTTACAGCGGTGTTGATTAATTAGATGTTCGCTGGAGCACGTGATAAGAGAGTTTACCGTCTTTGAGTGAAGGTAGAAGATACGAAAAACAGACTATAGTAGAGAGAGTAGACTGGGGTTGGAATTGGAAAAAGGACAGGCAACATACAAATTTAAATTTGAATTTTGGGTTTAACACAAAGATGTGGAGATAAAAATAAGCAAGAACCACCCAACCCTGATGCATTACAACTAAACAATTGTAATCGCTCTTACGCCCAATCCAATCGTTACACTACGAGTTCTATAGCCTTGTGCACTACGCTTTGTTACGAGTGAAATGTTCGTTGGCCAGAAAGTGGCGCACTGAAGCAAACAAATGTCTCAAAATAAGCCTCTAAAACACAGCAAGAAATACCATGAAAAGAAAAACTTCACAGAGACGTCAAGTCGGGAGCTGCAAAGGTTATGAATTCGTTCGTGCTTCGTGATATAAGAAAATGAAGACAAAGCATTGAAAGAATAAAGTACAGGGGTCATGAGGCGATTTCGACCTAAGATCAATATGTAAATGGACCTGTGAATTGGTCATCACCGTCACATAACTAGGCTAAGAAGCCAGGCGCGCACACAGGATTTTTGAATGGGGGGGGGCACGACCTTCGAAACTGGCCCCCATGCCGAAGGGCCCCCCCCCCCCAAAAAAAATACGGCTCACGGGGCTATTTAGGTTGGTTGAAGCTTTAGCAATTGGTTTGTCAATGCATGGTAAAATAATTATTTCGGTACTAGCTTAATTTTCAATATATATATAGATATATATATATATTGAAAATTAAGCTAGTACCGAAATAATTATTTACCATGCATTGACAAACCAATTGCTAAAGCTTCAAACCAACCTAAATATAGCCCCGTGAGCCGTATTTTTTTTTGGGGGGGGGGGGGCCCTTCGGCATGGGGGGCCCAGTTCGAAGGTCGTGCCCCCCCCATTCAAAAATCCTGTGTGCGCGCCTGGCTTCTTAGCCTAGTTATGTGACGGTGATGACCAATTCACAGGTCCATTTACATATTGATCTTAGGTCGAAATCGCCTCATGACCCCTGTACTTTATTCTTTCAATGCTTTAGTCTTCATTTTCTTATATCACGAAGCACGAACGAATTCATAACCTTTGCAGCTCCCGACTTGACGTCTCTGTGAAGTTGTTTCTTTTCATGGTATTTCTTGCTGTGTTTTAGAGGCTTATTTTGAGACATTTGTTTGCTTCAGTGCGCCACTTTCTGGCCAACGAACATTTCACTCGTAAACAAAGCGTAGTGCACAAGGCTATAGAACTCGTAGTGTAACGATTGGATTGGGCGTAAGAGCGATTACAATTGTTTAGTTGTAATGCATCAGGGTTGGGTGGTTCTTGCTTATTTTTATCTCCACATCTTTTGTGTTAAACCCAAAATTCAAATTTAAAATTTGTATGTTGCCTGTCCTTTTTCCAATTCCAACCCCAGTCTACTCTCTCTACTATAGTCTGTTTTTCGTATCTTCTACCTTCACTCAAAGACGGTAAACTCTCTTATCACGTGCTCCAGCGAACATCTAATTAAATCAACACCGCTGTAAAGTCAATTTTTATCTCGAACGCAAGATCGAACGTCTGTCCCCTTGGCCTATCTCGTTAATCAAAATGCAATGTTCGTTGTCAAGTGAAATGCAATTGCATAAAAACGTGTCATCATATTTTCTTTCTGGCCAAATTATCCCTTTCTAATTTCATTACGTTTTCAAACAACAGAAGGGCAATGGCCTTGGTCTCAGACAAGACGAAATGATTGTAACGTTTTCTTTCAACGTTTCAAAGCAAAAGAAATGTGGGTAAGGTGACTGAAATAAGGCGGTGAAGAAGGAGCACAACCAACGAATATCGCCAGAATAACGAACTTACTTCCTTGGATTGTCCAGAAAGAAAAGTGTTGAAGGCGCGGAGAAACACCGACGGTGGTAGCACAATTCAACTCCGTCATGCTTTCAGCTCAATATAATATGAAAAATGCATATGTGGGTGTTATTGTTGTTATTACCTGCTTACCTTAGGTTCCGCTGGCTTACTGTATTGGTAAGTGTAGGGTCCCGATCTGATGTCATCAAGTTCCTAAATTAAAGGACTTGTGAGTTGTGGATATTTATATTGTATGGAGTAGGTACCTTTTATGTTTGGTTTCAGCTTTCACTAGTCACTGGCCATCAAAGTGGGCCTCAATTGGAACTGGTTGAGAGAGGATGCAAGGATCATGGATGGATGAAGTACGCTTATCATTCACAGCTCTTGCCACTAAAGCATGCATGCCTTAGTTCTGACTCCTGGGCTTGGGGTACTCATACTGGCACCCGGCCATTTTCTGCTGTGTAGTGGTGTATGCCGGTGTTGCAATGCAGTGCAAATTCTGCAGTCTGGCTTTGCAGTGAGCAGTGCAGTTCTTATGCAATGCTAGGCTGATCTGCTCACTGTGCCTGTGCCGGTGCATCATTTTAAAAGATGATGTACCGGAGATGTAAGGGGCTGTGTTGTTAAAGTATCATGGGGTTTGCATAAAATACATGACTATCTACTCTATAATTCCCGCTTTTTTACAGATGTTTTGATAGTCTGATGTCATTTGTAATTTATAATTGAGTTACGTGGCTGTGGACATTGTCTTGCAGCAGAACAGAAGTGTTAAAATCATGAACATAATTACCAAGAAGAAAAAGTACAAGTTCCAAGTGGATTTGGTGGTGGAGGAGCTGACAGCGGTGCCGTTCGTCAGCGCTGTGCTCTTCTGCAAGGTGCACCTGCTGGAGGGCGGCCGGTTCGAGGAGTTTTCATCCAGGTGAGACCCACATGTTGATGTGTCAGGTGGTAGATGGCGCTGAGATGTTGAGTAAACATGAAACCTGCAGTCAAGACCATTTTCAGAATTCTCACGACCCACCAGTCCTGTTCCTGGAGACTTTTTTAATTTTTTTAGAAATTTTGTCCGAATGGATGAATGGGTGGCTATGGGCCCGGGTGCCCCGCTAAGCAGTGCTTGTTGCGAATGACACCACGGACCCACCACCCCACCTTGCCCGCATCCGGTTCACCGGTGATAATTTGGATCGAAAGTTTAACGTGCCGCAGGTAGATGGCGGCACGGTCCTCCCGGGTCTAGCGTGGCCCTCTCTCGCCAGTTGCCAGCTGGCTTAACATAGGAACGCGGGTCAAACGACGTGGAGCTTCCCGGCCGCGAACTCGCTGCCACCGAGTTAGGAGACGGACGCCTTATCCACTAGGCCACGGGGAGGACAAACCTCCTTCACGAAGGCTGGCGCCGACATCCAAAGCACCAATTCCCCTTTCAAAACGACCCCATTCCTGAACAAACGGGAATTGCCAGGGGTAATTTTTTTGCATAATATCATAGCAGAATGTGTCGGCCATCTGTTTCTGAGACATGCCGTTCAAATTTTGCAAATTCCAAACGCTCGACATTCCCCATGCCAAAACATTCGTTGGGTTACGGAGTGTTTCCTCAAGAGTTTTTGCTTTGAAAACGGCCCAAGACTGTTGATCATGTGGTTTTGTCGGTTTTCGTGTCTGAAAGAAAGCTATTCGCTCCAGATTTGCCTCATGAAACTTCCTAGGATCAAACTTTACATTTATGTGCCTTTTTTGGGGCCAAGTGTTCTTGACATCAACGATTTTCGCGTTATTTTCCCAAAAAAATTGGCATTCTAGATATTATGAAGAGTTTTAAACGATGTATTGTCTTTATTTTACGATGACCTGCTATTTTTGAAACTGGTTAGCCTATACTTGTGAGCTTCTTGCCAGTTCTCACTTCTCAATAGTTATGACCTCAGTTTCAGCTGCTTTTTGGCACACGAGCCTAGCTGACGTACGGGGGTCGATCAAAACGCTGTTAGTCTCGGATGGTTTCGCCCCTAATTTTTTTTTTGCCACCATTTTTAAATGATCATCATGTTGTACCCATCCTGGCCGACATTTTGCCATGTGTCAGCTCTGACTTAAACATTTCCATTACTCCTGAAACAGAGCGTTTCACAACAGACCCGATTTTGCGACATCCATTTTTATGCCTGACCCATGGTCAGAGGTGAACCCTTTTTGTGAGCTCATGAAGGGTCGAATGCATTTGAAAACAATTACACTGCTTAAGGACGGTCTTTAGCAATGCGCATGCAGAATTTAGACATTGAATTTCTTGTTGATTCGGAATTATTGACCAAAATCATGGCTGTACCTGTCAGCGAACTTTTGAGACACCCTGTATAGCAAAGAAGGCCAGTAAAGGAATATTTCAATTTTTCTTATCACTTTAACGGTAGCCTGGATAGCAGAAATGCTTGTGAAACACATAACATATAGGTGGTAGGTACCTAGGTAGTTTATTACACAATTTACAGCACCATGATTGGACATTTATACATGAAACACCCCTGACACTTTAACAATGTTTCGCCCATGACCTGACCCGACACGCCCTGACCCCACAGGGAGGAGGTGCGGGACCACACCGTCACCTGGAACGCGCGGATGTCGTTCAGCGCCAAGATGACGGCGCCGTGTACCACAGGCGTGCTGGACCCGTGCCTGTGCCGCATCTCTGTCAGGAAGGTGAGAGTGAGACCCACATGTCCTGGCGGGTGTAGCAGGGAGGGGACATGTTGTGCTGTTATCTTTTTATGTGTGACAGGTGAATGTTTTGTGAAATTAGGGCATCGAGGGCGACACATGATTTTAATTGACGTTTATCTAATGCTTAGCAATCGAGCCACCAAACCAGTTGTATGCCCCGCATTGAGCAGTACCTAGATACTCTGTAGTGTTTTATCTTGTCAGAATTGTCAGCTGTCGCTGATGTCTTCATTGCCTGACGATCGGTATGTACTCGCCTTGCGCCCCTCACGATGCATACACCACCGTAACTCCTGCCTTGACATCGTGTTTCTGAACTAACCATCTCTATCCGCCCTGACAGGAGACGAAGGGCGGCCGGTCGTACCAGAAGCTGGGGTTCGCTACCATTAACCTGGCAGAGTTCGCCGGGGCGGCGGCCAGTGTCGCCGGTACCTGCTCGAGGAGCATGACCTGCGACACCGGCAGGACAACAGCATGCTCAAGGTGGTGCTGTCCACCACGCTGCTCAGCGGCGACCCCTGCTTCCGCGCGTGAGTGGCAGGATGTGTGGGAGAAGTAGTGGGATGTGATGGGTGGGGCTGTGGTGATATATGTCAAAATGACTGTGTGGTGGATGTGCATTGATGTGTATGGTAGGATGGGTAAATAGCGGTGAATTAGCTCGATGAGTATGTGGTCAAGTAGTGAGCATCAAAATATATAGGCTCTGCTGTTGCATATCTAGCAGCAGGGCTGCGGAGTCGGTGAATTTTCGGTGACTTCGACTCCGACTCCGGCTTTCAAAACCAACTCCGACTCCGACTCCAGGCAGAACTGTCGACTCCGACCGACTCAAACTTCTACTCCGCATCCTTATTCTATTCTATTCTATTCTATCCTTTTCTAGCAGTGTATCCTATTAACCCTCGCCCATGTAGGGGGGGGGTTGGTGCAACCCCCCCCCCCCCCCCTGAGGCTTTTCGGAAATAGTGCAAAACGGCGCGCAGCGCCGCCAAATTTTGGGTACCTTATGGGGCAAACCTTGCGCATCTTTTGATAAAAAAAAATTTGACCGGGTCATGTCAGGTCACGGAGTTATGACGTCACAAAGGGAACAGCCTCCGGCCGGATTTTCACAAACTGAGTGCCAACGCCCGAGGTTTCCTGCCGGTGGTACGGACATCAGTTGATGGATCGTGATGAAACTTCCCATGCATGTTGGGGCAAGTATTGGCTATCATATGGTATAAGAAACTTGACCGGGTCAGGTCAGGTCACGGAGCTATGACGTCACAAGAGGAACAGCGTCCGGTACTATTTTTGAAAAGCGCCCGAACCACTATTTTGCTAATTCTTGTCACCTCAATGGGAATATGCAGCAATATTAGCTTCTATAGGGAGCAAATGGACCTCCCAAATCCAAAAATACAATCAGATTTCAAAAATTTAAATTTTGATTTTTCGAATTTCTGCCGCCGACTGTGACCTTGCCGACTTCCGGCGCTCCCAACGCGCCATTTTTAGAGCTAGGGAAACGAAATACATACCAAACGATAGAGAATTGATCAAGGAACACGATAGTGAAGGTTTCAAGTCGATATCTCCCACCGTTTTGCCGCAATCGCCGCGGAAAGTTGAAAAAAGTCTATTTTTCCGAAAATTTGACCTTTGACCGGTCAAAAGTAGGTCAAATGTTGACCTAGGACCAAAAAATATACCACCAATCGCGAGATCTCGGCGAGAGCAATCCGTTGGTCTTTTCCGCTAAGCTCTACGACGCTCCGTTTTCAAACGCCAAGGGGGGGGGGGGGTCGCACCAACCCCCCCCCCCCTGCATGGGCGAAGGTGGCAGATCGCCGTTTACGGGCGAGGGTTAATGCACGCATATCGGTGACATCTTTCATGGGCTCTTTGGTGATGGTCTGACACCAGGTCTCTGGTATGTCTGTCTTTGTTACTTGACCCTACCCGACTCTAGGTCCTGTACCTGTAAGAAACGGCACGAGGACCTCGATTGTGTCCCATCTGATTGTCTCTCTGACGTCGTGTCTTTCATGCCTACCATATCTGACTCCGCTCCCTCCCTGTCCGTCCAGGCCGGTGCCCCGCTCGGCTGGCCACGCTGCCGAGTCCACGGACCCGCCGGGCGGTGGCCCGCCAATGGCAGCCGTCCAGACGGCCCTCCCCGGCACCGGCGGACTGCAGCTCAAGGATCTGACGCGCGTCAGGGGTGAGAAGTCGGAACTTTATAAATGAGTTACTAACACATTTACTAGCTCACTATGTAACGCGAACTCTCGGTCATGATTTCTTCTCTTTTTTTTTTTTGCAATAGTCAACTCAGTACCTATATGAGACTGCTATGGACCGTTGCTTGGCAAGATTCAACGTCCTGATGTGCATATACTATGTATACTTCTGATCTTGAATCAGGATTTTATCCTATGCTTGGATTGTCACCTAGGCCAGTTAAGGCCTCAAAACACACCTTGGTACGATGTCTATACCGCGGTTGACGGGTGCCGATAACTGGTGCTGTCGAGCTAACCACTTCTCCCTCTGCCCGACTGTGTGGGCGGCGGCGCGACGTCCGCCAGCTCCTCCGACCCTTGTGAGCACGGCCTGCCGCCGCCGGCTGGCTCCGAGGACCCGTCTGAGCCGCAGGGCCACTCGAGGAACTCGAGTAGCCAGTCGGCGGGCTACGGCAGTCTGCAGTCGCAGGGCCACTCGGAGCCCTCGCAGCCGACGCACAGCCGGCACAGCAGCAGCTCAGAGTCGGGGCACCTCAGGTGAGGGTTAATGGCAGTCACTCCGGACACCTCAGGTGAGGGTTAACTGACCCCTGGGGTGGGGTTAGTTAACGGCAGCTCCTAACCCGGACACCTCAGGCGAGCGTTAACGGACACCTAAAGTGAGCGTTAACTGACACCTCAGTTAAGGGTGAACACTAATAGACAACTCAGGTGAGGGTTAATAGCAGTCCGGACACCTCAGGCGAGTGTAACGGTAGCTCCGAGTCCGAACACCTCAGGTGAGGGTTAACAGACACTCAAGGTGAAGGTTAACGACAGCTCCGAGTCCGGACACCTTAAGTGAGGTTAACGGCAGCTCCGGACACCTCAGGCGAGTGTAACGGTAACTTCGTGTCCGAGTGCACCTACGTGAAGGGGATACCACGGCAGCTCCCGACTCCGAACACCTCAGGTGAGGTTTGACGGCAGCTCCGAGCTAGCGACACCTCATAATATGAGGGTTCCTTCAGTCGGCGACACTTATGTTAGAACTAAATCGGCTCATAATCGTGACTATGCCAAATTACAGGGACCACACGTGAACCTCAAAAAGTAACCCAGACATCCTGCATTCATAATCAGCGTGTGCCTGTCGTTAGTATGCGCAGTGCGCACCACTGCAGTGCTGCCCCTTGCGTTGAACCCAACGACCGTTTACCTTTGCTCTGAAATAATCTCCCTTGACGCCCATCCTTCCCACTCCTGCAGAACGGCGAGCAGCGGCTCGGGTCTGTCCGACTACAACTCGATGGAGCGGGCGGCGGCCGGCGGCGGCGAGAAGCGCAAAAAGGACTCGGCGTCCGGCTCGCGGTTCGACGCGACGCGTGTCGACGCCGAGACGTGATCAACGACCTGCTGCAACACGCCGACTTCGACAACCCGGACGAATCGGCGGAGAGTGAGTGGAGGGAGAGGGGGGAGGAGGGGAGGAGAAGGAACAGGGTAGGGAGACGAGAATTCCGGAGAGGGGAGAAAAGGGCGAGATTAAGGTTCGGGAGTTTGGTTGGAAATTGAGAGTAGGTAAGACGAGATGCATGATGTATGTACATATAATGTAAATGTATGCGAGAAATCAGTGAGGGAGATAGGATAAAGTTCTCTGATCATTTCTACGTCATCGGGGAATACGCTTGTTCGTATACTTCCGCTACCACGTTGGATACCGCTTGTAGATTGCTCGTGTAAATTACTGCTGATTACTTACATGTATTCTAGTATAATTATCCTTGTGTCGCCATCTGTGCGTCGCACTCACCGGGCGCCCCGTCCACCTGACAACCTGACCGTCGCCGTCTGCCTGTGTCCGCCCGCCGCCCCCTCTGACTGTCTCTCTGACCGTCTCTGTCTCTCTCCGTCTGCAGCCACCTCTGACCCTCCCTGCGTGCCTGTGTCCGCCCGCCGCCCCCTCTGACTGTCTCTCTGACTGTCTCTGTCTGTCTCCGCCCTCAGCCCCCTCTGTCTGTCTGCCTGTGTCCGCCCGCCGCCCCTCTGACTGTCTGCCTGTCTCCGCCCGCAGCCTCGGGTCTTCAGCTGTACGTCGGTCGGGACGGCAGCACCGCCTTCTCCTCGGGTTCAGCCGGCAACACGGCCAGTTACCAGGCGGTCGTCATCAGCAAAAAGTAGCCGCCGCCGGCCGCCAGCGCCCGTATGCTCTAGTCCGCGCGCGACTTCCGACACGTGGCGGCACGTGGGACACGTGTCGCCGGCGCCATGACAGCCTGTGAGACGTTAGAGGTTAGCTGGGGAGGGGTGTTCGGGTGGGATGGGTGCGGGCCGCAGTATGCGCGCGACATACTCCTGTGCTCGGGTAGGGGACTGACTGACTGGGATCTGTGCTGAAGGTAGTGTGTAGCAGAGACGCCAGCGCTCGCGCTCAGCCGCGTCTGGGGCGGCGATTGGCTGCCGGTTTGTAGGTTCTGTTCCGATCTGTTCGGGGAGGAGAGCTGACGCGCGTTGTGTTCAGGTTGGAGGGAGCGTTAAGTCCAGCTCGGACCGGAGATTGTGTCCACCTTGTTCAGGCTGGAGAGGAAGTTTACGTATACTCTGTTCAGTGTTCAGGTTGCTGGGAGGCCCGCCTGGTTTGGCAGGCAGTGGTGCCTCCCTCCGCTCTAGGTTGGGTTTTACGTCCGATGTGTTCCGGGTAAGTGCTGTGCCCTGTGTTCGGTCCGGTAGGGACCCGGTACCGGGCGTGTGTGCAGTAGGACGCCGTGTCTGCTGTCTGACTCTCCGGGCTGGCCTCTGAGGCAGTCCTCGGCGGTGTGACGTCACTCCCGGCGGTATGACGTCACTCCGGGAGGTCGGAGGGGTCATATGAAGGGCCAGTCCCCGGCGGGCGGGGCGGACGTCGTTTTCTAGTCGAGTCGGCCGCCGCGGTCCTGTGCCGATGTCGCCACTGACCTGACCTGACCCGGTCGGGCCGAGTCGGCGGAGCGCAGAAGTCGACTCCGGCCGCCAGTCAGCCGCCCAGTCTATGCATTTTTATCGCTGACTTCGCTGGCCCTTTACACCAATGTGTTTGCCTGAGTTGATATTGTCCGCACTTTTCGACGTTATGGATGCCGACTGTATTGTGTGTATGTGCGTGATGTGCTGCATTCCTCTTTTAATAGTCGTTTTATCTCGCTTGATGAATCGTGATTCCAATTCCTGTGTAACTTTTTAGCTGCCTTGCTGGTCAAACTCTCGTGCCAAATGTACGTTTCTCGCTTTACGAAGTCATTCGTATCCATTGCTGTTTACAATCACTCATTTTTACAATTCACTTGGCTGCTAAACAATCATCCAAATAAACCTTGATTGGGTAACGCTGTTTTGCAATATCTTCCATGGAGATGGGATACGAATAAATCAGATATGCATCATGTAAAAGGGAAGGTTATGAAATCAACATTTTTGTTCTAACTTACGCTCAACACGTATTCAAACTTGTCTCCTTCGTCAACAAATATCGGACACGTTTGCACAATCTAAATATTTTATCTATTCTGTGTGATCCCTGATCCCTGGGGTTTCAACTATTCCATAAAAGCTCATGTCAATAAAGCAGCATCTAGAGCCGTCTGTAGCCGGGGTCGGCGCTCTGTGTGATTTATCTTGTACCCTCGAGCGGTCGTAAATCACAACCCCTCAGCTGCCAGCTGTATGGATATTTGACCTCCCAGACTAATGGGTTGGCCAACCCGCCCTGACCGCGACTGAGCGGGCCGTGGCATACATACGGCTACCACCGATACGTCGACCCATTGAAAGAAACATGAGGTTCAGCCGGGCCGCTGTCAATGTGCCATGCCGACTGACGGGCTCAGTTCGTATCCCGCGGCTCACTGGCTGGGAGGGCAGACAATTGGGATGTCCGGGTGGGGAGGCAGATATTAGTCAAACTCGCATCCAAACGTGACAGCCAGAGTACAATATACACAGTGAAGTCAAAGAGGCTAGGGTGTCTGGTGGTGACCTTATGCGGTCTCCGACTCGATGGCGGACTCAGACTGAGTTTAATAATTTCTTGCATGGACATCTGGTTGATCACTGGCTGTGATCTGTGGGCGTGGTCAACATCTCTTGGCGGCTACTGAATGGCAAGCAAGAGATCAATGTACCGACTGAGCATGCATTCTGCATGCGCTTACCAACACAGTCCCCTATATGCTCGAAATGTGTAAGCTGTCCTGTATGACTTGCAGCCTACTCTGTCATCTAGTGATCGTTTTCAGAACCTCTGCTTCTGCACCCATATGCAGGTGGTGAACCTGTGGCGCTGTGGGGTCGAGGTCTTCACGAAGCATCCCCGTCGCTTTGGCTTTACCACGCAGTAAATGTTACACAAGATGATAGTAACGCGGGGGTCATGCCGGATTATAATCCAGTGTTTCTAAGATGAAAGAAGTAGAAAGTAAGGTCGAGCATAACCAAGACTAGCCTACAGGCCGTAACTTGGGCTAAGGTAGTGACGTCGACGAAAGGAACCGATGGGGATTTCAATAAGCCATCTTCAAAGCTTCGTGCCGAAAGTCTGTAATAAAGTCCACTTAGGCTCTAATCTTACAAATTAACAATGCCCGAGTGTTTGTAGTAAGCATGCCACTTCAATAAAAAGCCCGGGCACTTGAATAGTAGGTAACTGCCTGTTGGATTGCCTGGTATTCCGGATCAGACCAAACGAAAAACTCCGTACCTAATCTTGCTCTTTGCAGCCATTTATGTTGGTAGGTGGTGCATTTTCACCTATGTTTATGCCTAAAACCTTACACCGTTGGACTTTCTGGTACGTTGAATTCTGGTATGTTGGAATGATTGACGCGCACTGAAGCCCTCACAAACAATATGTTGGAATTACCTGTTATGGGTGTACAGTCTGTCTTAAAAGTACCGCGCAAAGTGACGGTGGATCCATCGAGCCTGACTGAGGAAGGGCCTGCTAAATTTGGGTCACCGAAGCAATTGACATCCTCGTCCATTCCCTAGGTCAATTGGTCGGTGACTTTCAAATTAAAGCAGACCCTTTCTCGGTCAGGCTTGATGGATCCACCGCCACTTTGAGCGGTACTTTTAAGACAGACTGTACATACCTAATACCTATCATCTGTGAACCAGTGTTCTCCACTGGACGTCCAACCCACAAACCAGCCTAGCCCGAGATAATTGATTCTTACGATTTATAGGAAACGTAGCCCATTGAACGGTCACCATTTTATTATTGGCATTTTAAATTAATCCAGAATTCACAGATAAAAGAAATGGTTCACGACTACTTATCTAGTAATGATTAAACAACGATTCCATTTCCCGGCAGACGGTGGGCATCCCAGCACCTTCCGCGTGGTGGGTGGGGGGCATTTTTTGCCCCCCCCCCGTATCTCCGAAACTTCTGGACGGATCCGTAAAATTCAAAAGGCATTCGATAGCCCTGTCAAATTTGTTGCAAGAAACTAAATTTCATTGACCTCGGGGGTCACCGATGACGTCATAGGTCAGGTCAAAGATAAAATGTTTCGCCGTCCACAGGTCTTCTAGGGAATGCGCTATAACACCGAGTAAAACGCATTTTGTCGAAAATCAGCGATAGGGCGTCAGCTGCCTAGTACATATGTTGCTAATAGAGGTCACTGATAATACCAGGTCAGGTCACAGGTCAGGTCAACAAGGGTCAGCACATGAACCCAACTTTACTAGGGTTGTGCGATGCATGTTTTATGGCCAATTTTTCAGTTCCAACTCAATGGTGCTGGTTATAAGACCATCAGGTACGGTTTAGGTCACTTTCTGGTGGAGGTCAGGTCAAGGTCAGGTAAAAAAGGTCAAATTTCAAAGTTTATACTTTTGCATAAAATGGGTATTGATTCGATGCAGCTCGCCACGAGGAGTCTAATGGTGTTTTTTTTTTGCGCCACGAAGTCTAGAATTGCTCAAAATTGAGTCTGAAAATTTGGCGTCATCAATTTTGAACAGTTTTTTTGCTATAGCTTGGCCAAAAAAAAGAGGTATCGACCTCAAATTTGATATGTGGATAGAAGGTGGTAGGGACTGCCACATTTCCGTTTTTTAACTCAAAAAATGTTTTGGGTTTTTCGGCTATTACCTATATTAAAAAAAAACTTTTTTTATTTCAAAAAAAATCTGAGATAGCAGTTTTGTAGCCCTATTCAATCTACACTTTTATGTCTGAAACATTTTTCTGTATCTCTAAAGCTGTAGGCCTGACAGCTCTTCCCGCGAAACCTTTTTTGGGTCGAAAATGGCAGAAATGGCGTCACTCCGACGTCATTAGCGGCCAACCTATCATAGCCTTTGGAAAAAAAAAATTGGTTCACAATGTGCAAAAGCTATTCACGGAAGGGTACTGAA